GGTAGGGCGGGGGTGGGAGGGGCAACACCAGAGGTGCCGGGTGAGGGTGGCGGGTATCCAAGATGGTTGGGAGTGGTGGATGCTTGAGGGGAAGGGAGAAAGGGGCGAGGTGGGAGTAAGGAGATGTGTTGCTTGTGAGAAGGGGCTGTGCGAGCCAATGGAAAGTGTCAGGTGTGCCCAGCACGTTCAGCCCCTGGCAGAATGCGCACAGCATAGCCGTCGCCTCGTGGCTGCTGCCGAGGCACGGGCTGCCCTCACTGGGGCAGGCGTCAGCCCCACAACCCTGGTGACCCCTGGACCGCAGCCCTGGAACCTGCCAACCTCTGGCCATGAAAAGGGCCGTGACCTTTGCCCTGTCAAAAATCGCAGCTGCCCAAGCGATGCCTGCAGCTCGTTCCACACATCTCCCCCACCCCCCGGGACAAGCAGGAAGAGCCCGTCTCCCCCCAAAACAAAGTCTGTCAGGCTGCGGCCGCTCACCCGCGTGAAGTCCATTGCGATAGGTGTGCCGGCAGCCGCCAGGGCGCTGACATCAGCCACCAACGAGTCATACGGACGCACCTGGCAGGATTACGCAGGGAATGCGCACATTGAGACAGCAGTAGGTCGGTCAGGGCGAGTCAGCGCCCACACACGTGGCCACGGACCTCACCAGCAGCAACGCAGCCACGTCCAACCACACCCGTCACCCCGCAGCCACCCACCTCCACGCCGCCCTCCTTGAGGTGGTCGGCCACCTCTGGCGTGATCTTGCGGGGGTCAGTGTACAGGCTGGCCCCCTCACCCGTGACCATCGCATACGCGACAAACACTGCCGCAGGGGAGAGAGACGGGCGGGCGCTGGCAGCCATAAGCCAGGTGGTGCGCATTGCAAAACCAAACTGGGATGGGGTGGCGACCACCGGCGTCCAGGCCGTGCATGGGTGGCGGGGCCCATCACCATGTTTGGAGTGTGGGGGCCTCAACACAGAGGCACCAGTGGCCTTCCAATCGCACCCAGCAGGCTGCCAGCGGTGGACGAGATGATAGAACTGCAAGCTTGCACGCATTTGAGCACCAGAATCGCCGAGCTGTCGGGCGTTAATGATACATCGACGCGCGGTATACGGCGGCATGCACCCACCAGGGTTGTAGTCTACGTCGCTGCCGCGCAGGTTGAGGAGCCAGGCCACCTCGTCCAGGCCCGTCACCAAAAGCGCCCCTGCCTCGGCGGCTGCGGGGCACCCAGGGGCGCGGTTGCAGGGCAGGCGGGGTGAGACGTGACGGGTGCAGCGGGGTTTGAAGCGAGACAGCATTGCAAGAACATTTGGAAGTCCACGTGGGTTGGCAGTCAGAGCTTGCCTGCTGCACCGCCAACGCACGGCCTCCATTCCACCCGTGAGAAACCCCGAACGTGATTCGTTTGCAGTGCCTCAAGACATCACATCGGCCCCCAAACACATGAGCGCCGCCACCCACCCTTCATCTTCTGCCTCATCGCCGCCAGCTTGTCCGCCACCCCCTGCCCCGCCCACTGCAGCGCGTGCACCCGCAGCGGCGACAGCGGCAGCTCCGGCTGGGCGTCCCCCCAGGCTGCGTCAACCAGGTTGCCGTCCGCCAGCAGGGGGACCAGCTCCTTGCCGCGGGCCTGCCAGGGCGGGGGGGCGGGGGGCGTGGCGTGGCGCGGCGTGAGCTCCGGGGAGGGGTGGGGCGGCGAGACGCCTGGTGACGGAGGGAAGGCGGTGGTGCTGCACGGATGGTGGTGCTGGTTTGCTGCACACGCGTCCTTGCGCGGGCTCAAGCGTGTGCACGTGCGTACGCAGTCGACCCCCTTTCCCCCACACTCACACTTCATTTGGGCGCCTGCTTGTTCACAGACATGAGCACGCGTGCGCGCACGCGCGTGCGCCCACACACCCACGCGCGCGCGCGCGCACGCATGCAGCGCGCACACATGCATACACCTCGCACCCCGGCCCTCACCTGCAGCTTGGTCCTGAGGGAGCGCACCGCGTCCACCGTGTGGCAGAAGGGGTCGATCCCCACGCGCGTGCCGGCAGGCAGCACCTCAGCCAGCCAGTCCGGGATCTGCGCGTCCAAGATTCGACGCAAACAGACAGAATCAAAACGGCAGTGCGGTGAAGTTGAGCCCTTTGCATGCACATGCGAATTGGGCCCAGATAAGCGGCAAGAAACACTGTGCAGCAGCGTGGACAGGTGGCTGTGGACAAACGCGGCCCTGGGCCGTCAGGCGGGCTGTCCTGGACAGTCAATGCGGACCGACCCGCCCTGCTGTCCCCCATCCACCGCCTCTTCACCTCCGGACAGTGGCCGGTGCCGCCGCGCATGAGGGTCCACCCCGGCTCGAGTTCCTGCTCCGCCTGCGGTCGGATTCGAGGGTTGCGTGTGAAATCGTCATTTGTGCTGCAAAGTCGGCCGCCCACCCCCCACAGTCGGCATGCAATCCGCAGTCCAAAGTGCAAAGGCGAGACCTGGAGGGTCACATGCATAACTGCCGCTGAAACCCCCGTAACCCCCGGCCTTCACACCTGCAGGAAGTACCTGCCGTCAGTCCACAGCAGGGCCTGGTCCGCCGTGATGACTGCAGTGCCGGCAGACCCTGTGAACCTGATGGGGGCGGGGGCGGCGGTGAAGGCGTGTTTAGGGTTCAGGGTGTGAAATTCAGGGTTTGCGACGCGAACGCATCAGCATGGCAGCATGGGGCTGGGGGCTGTCGCGCGAGCGAGACGGCAGGATGGGGCTGCCGGGCGCCAGCGCATCCCAGCGGCTGCGCTGCGCTTGCAGCCTGTTCTCGCGCCGCCGCTGCTGGTCTGATGCCACCAGTGGCAGCAAAATCAGAACTGAATGCGGGTGCCCGGCAACCTTGGAATCGCCCGCGCAAACCGGCAAATTTGAACGATGCTGTAGTACCCTGCACCCATCGCACTGACCACCACAAGGAAGACGTGATGCGCCCACACCATCACCTCACGCTACTGCATTAACAGGAAAACCCCACGCCACTGCCGCCACCACGGCCACCGCCACGTCCACCGCTACCGCCGCGGCACCATGGTGCTCACTTGCTAATGAACTCGCGGCGCTTGAATCTGCCAGGGGCGTACTCGCTCATGTGGGGGTCCTCGGATGGCACGATGTACGCCTGGGGGTGAAGGCAGGGTGCAGATCAGAGCCACAAGCGATCAGATTGAGGCGAATGAACGCAAAGCTTTGAGGGTGACCGGTCAACGGCCGCAGGGTGCAGGAGTCAGGCCATGAGCGGGCGTCCGGCCATGGGTGCTGATGCCTGCCAGTATCAGCCTGGCCCCGGCTGCCGCTAATAGATACACCAGCTGCGCAGGGCGCACCGGCCGGACGAACCCCTGTTACTGGCCGCAGCAGCGAGCGGACGGGGTTGCTCCCTCGCTGCCCAGGCTTGCGTATGGATGGCAACCCGACCCAGCGGCGTCTGGCTGGTTTGCTTGGCGGCGCTGGCGGCTGCCTGGCCGCTGCTAGACCAGCTTTCTCAGGGCTCGCAGGGCGCAGGGATCAGCACAGCTGCAGAGGCGCGCACCTGCACGCCCTTCCCGCCGTCGGCGCGCGCCATCGCCTCCCTCAAGCGCGCCACGCGGTCGTCGCCCGCGCCGCCGTTGGACGGCGCCGCGGCCGCGGCCGCTGCGGCACTGCCGTTGGCGCTGTCACCGGCGGCCGCCTTGGCGGCCTTGGACGCCATGTGGCGCCTTGATTGGGAGGTCGCGGCTGCCGAGGGGCGAGGCAGCGCAGTGGCAAGGCCCAGGCGAGCACACACCTGGCAGGGACAACAGGGCACAAGCGGCAGGTGTGCTCGTGATCCGTGAAAACGATACATTTAGTGACCACAGGCTGCCATTCAAGCTCAATTGAACCGCGCTTGCAGGGCGGTGCCCGACGACGCGGCAGCGCACAAGCCGCAGCACCGGCGCAAGGGATTCGCACGCACACACCCCACCTGTGCGTCGAGGTGCCGGATAGGAGAGAGGGCCGCGGCTATTGAAATCGCTGAAGCCTGGCGTCCAGCACGAACGCTGCTGCCAAGTAGGCCCGTCCTGGCTGCGCAGAGTGCGCTCATTCGGCGTGAGCGAACGATCTCTACTTGTGCTTCGATTTTTGAAGCCACACCAGCACACGATACTAAAATAGGACTGTAAGTTGTCATATTGATGTGCAATATTACTTCTCAGACGAACTAGCGGGCAGCTGGTGTTGGCCCCGTTGACGCAGTGCCGATTGGACCGCAGTGGTTTGCCCTTGGTTCTCCAGTCCAGACCCTGCAGGCACAGGACCGCGCGACATAACAAAGCTGTAGTCTGTATGTTAACTTCACTTGAAGGCTTTAAGCAAGAGCACTAGTTGCTGCGTAGTGCCTCGCACTCTGACCATGACGTGCTTGCTCATGAGCTGGCCTGACTCATCGGCGAGGGGCCAGCGCCACCAGCCAGCGGCCAACATTGGTTTGGCCATCTGCAGCACAATGCCTGGTAATGCCCGGGGGATTGACACTTGTGTAAAGAGTCGTGTATGTGCCTACTCCACAGCCGACAGCTCTGTATCCCCCGGATAACCTCACCGCAAGCTGTAAATCTGGGCCGCACTCCCTGGCCGACCACACACACACCTCTTGGTCCCTTGCACCCTCATCGTTGCAACGCAGGCAGGTGCTGCTCGGTCACATTACAGCAGGACCCCCGCGCTGCAGACACACACAATGACCGCACAGCTGCACATCGTGCACCCCACACGCAAACGCTGCTGCCCTGCACCCTGCGCCCACCACGCTGCTCTACATGCCAGACCCTCAAGCTATCTGCGCCATGAGTCCCTACGTCCCTGCAGCTCCCACCTCCAGCCCCGCCCCCGCCCCCGGCC